AATGAAATTGGCTCAAGATAGAGCAGAGTTCAGAGTTGTTGTACATAGGGTCACTGTGAGTTTCAAGTGATTCAACAACACATAACAACAACAACATTGAGATGGAAAATACTGGAAGTTATTCAAGTTCACTAAGGAGCGCTGGTGTTGTCCATGGTGAATTGTGCTGCAAACCCAAAGTCCATACTTCTCTTGAAGTTTGAATTCACTGGTGGCTCCAGTGGAGAAAGATGGGCAGGCTCCTCCCATGAGATTTTAAAGCCTAGAAACCCACTGAAGGCTCAACTATGAATTTGTTCCAACTCAATTGCAATGTGGTTTCTGTAGATGTTGTGTTTATGTGCCATCAAGTCACCTGTAACTCATAGAGACACCATGTACAACAGCCTTGAACTCTGCCCTGTCCTGAGTCAGTCTCACTGACTTTAACCCACCTAATCCCACTGCCCCATGTCGATCTGCCTCATCTGGTGTCTTCCTCTCCTGCACTGTCCCTCCATATTTCTGAGCATGATGTCCTTCTCCAAGGATTTTCTGGCCACATGTCCATAGTATGTGAGATGGAGCTTAAAAATCCTTGCCTCCAAGGAGAAACTTGATTTCACCTGGCAGCCCATGTTATGTTCAAGACTCTTCAGCATCACAATTCAAAAGCATAATTTCTTATTCTGTCATCCTTTGTCACTGTCCAGTTCTATGATCCGTATTAAGTAATTGTGAAGACCATAGCCTGGATCAGGTTTACCTTAGCCTCTAAACTGACATCATTGCTGCTCAGCATTCTGAAAAGGTCTCTCACAGCAGACTTCTCTAATTTGTCTCTTGATTTCCTGACTGCTGGTGCCAAGAGTGTTGATTATGGAGCCAAGCAAGCTGAAACTGTTAACAATCTCAATCTCTTCTCCATTTATCATGCTGCTACCAGTTGGTCCATTGGAGAGAATCTTTGTCTTCTTGATGTTACGCTTTCATCCATATTTTACAGTCCTTGATCAAAAGTCCTTCAGCAAATGCTTCAGGTTCTCCTCAGTTTCAGCAAGCAAAGTTGTATCATCTGCACAACACAAGCTGTGGATAAGTCTTCCTCCAATTCTGATGCCGCACTCCTCTTCACAGAGTCCAGCTTCTCAAATGATCTGTTCGGCATATAGATTGAAAAAGTATGGAGACAGGAAGCATCCCTGATGCACTCCTTTCCCAATTTTGAACCATGTAGTGTTTCTCCGCTCCGTTCTGAGGACTATCTTCTGGTCCAAGTATAGGTTTCTCATGAGCACAATCAAGTGTTATGATATGTAGAATATTCAAAGTATCTAACAGTTCTAAAAATATATCGTTCAAAAAATACATAGAAAGTGCAAAAAATTTAGTAGTTTTAACTTTTAAAGTAAAAATTAAGTTTGTGTAAAAAGTTCTTACTAATGGAAAACTTCCTTGAAATAATTGTGGTTGGTATGATTCTGATTAAATATTAAATGCCAAATGCCTTTGAGGTTAAATGACAGAATTAACATGCTTCTAGGTCTTCACTCAAAAGAAACAATAATAATGATGTGTACTGTACCTAGCTTGCAGCATTGCTAAACTCTTGCTCCATTGCACTTTTACCTCTTTAGTCTGAGGACAAACATTTTCTGCCTTTAAGCATTCATACATCCAGAAAGAAAGCACAGTTCTTTGTGCCACAGAAGCACAAAGTGGACAGAACTCTCACCCAAGATTACCTCAGGAGCTGAGAGCATTCTAGGAGAAGTAGCCTCCAATCCCTTCTCAAACTTACCTTGGTCAGGATCCCGGGCAAATACCACAGCCACAGGGGTCTTAACCGTGGTGTTGTCGAAGACAGCCACAGAGCAGTGGTTGGGGAAGAACCGTGGGGCGTTGTCATTCACATCCTCCACATGGATGGTCACATCTGCGTGGCATGACCTGCCACCTCCATCTGTTGCCTTGGCAACAAGGTTGTATACATCTTTCCTCTCTCGGTCTAAAGCTGTACGTGTGGTCAGCTCCCCTGGACGTAGCAAAGAGAGTAGGTGAGGCTTTTTTGGTGGCATACTTCAGCATGTGCCTCTAGATATCTACACAGACACACAGGGTTTTGTTAAAGAGGAAAAGGGCTGGTCTTGTATATTTAGTCAGGATGGCGGCTCAGTCTGTGCTTTCCCACTTCCCCTCATAGCCCTAAATCTAACAAACATATTCCACAACCATAATCACTTTAATTTTCATCAACAAACTGCAAATACACACACACAAAAAAATTGAAAAGGCAATATCTAAAATGAAATGTGTAGCCCTGTAGCCCATTTCTAGACTTTATCCTATAGAGTATAAGGATATTCATTACAGTATTTTCATAATAGCAGAATATTAAGATTAACCTAAAAAAGAGACTAGTTACATATAATTTGGTTTACTGTTGTTCTTATGTACTGTTGAGTCGGAATTGACTCATAGCTGCTCCCCCAGCAGATTTTCAAAAGCTATAAATCACACAGAAGACTGTCCATCTTTCTCCCATACCACTAGGCTATCAGAGCTCTAAGCCATACAATAAACCAGAAGGAAATTATGATTGAGTTTGAACTACTATCTTGTTAATATCTTCAAGATATTGTTAAGTGGGACAACAATCTGGAGCAAAGGATGATTTGTGGGGTGGGCCAGGGAAGAGGGTGGGGAGGAAGAAAATGTGCAACAATGAATAAAAATTTTAAAACAATTTAAAACATGCTAAGTTTAGAGGGGGTGAAAAGCAAGTCATAAGCGTCCATTCCATTTTTGTGAGATGGTTATATTGGAGATGTTAAAGATTCATGGAAAACTAATCTGGTAGCATATATAAACCAACAGCACTCATCTTTGGTGATGAGTAGAGAAGTATCGTGGGGATTTTGTAGTTTCTGCAAAATTTTAAAGTATTCATTTAAGCATGTCTTCTGTATTTTCATATGACGAACATGCATTATTTCTATATTCATGAAAACCACCCAGTTTTTTTGCTTTGTTTTGTTTTGTTGTAAAGTCCTTGCCAATCTATCTTACAGCTGAACAAACAACAGCAGAGAGAGGACAGGCCGCCTGCCTGGAGGTGCTCAGCACACCCTTACTGAAGTTGGAAAAGACAATGCTGCCTGTTGTCTACCCAGACAGCATTCCAGGGACGCTCTCTCACTAGCTACCTCCCTATGCAGGACTTTCCAACGCAGCCATGAGCTACTGGATCCAAGCCAAGTGTTGGTAGCTGCCCCCCTTTGACCTAGGCCTTTTATGTTCCACAACCCCTCCCCACCCTACTGCAGCAGCATAGGAACCTCGCTCCTTCTGGGGTTGCCCTTCCCAAAGGGCAGGTCACAATAATCTTGTCTTCTTCACTAACCTCTCCCAGCACACCTGCTCCCAGAAATTCTTGGTCTCTGCAGGGTATTCTGCCTCCTGAGGGTTTTGTCCCCTATCTAATAAAGACAATAATAGCATCCAACTCTACATCATGTGCCAGGTCTGGGTTGGGCCTTCACCTCTCACAGACCTCATAAAGTCTATGAAGATCCCTGGAGTTGGGAATAAAACCATCTTGGAAGCAAGGATCCTGTCCTTACATGGCACTTATCTACCTGAGCCCTCCAGGTCCTGCAGGCCCCAAAGCCCTTTTCATTGGCCCCCACCTCTCACCCTCTGCACCAGGCTCCTCTGAGGTACTACATTGTTTCTGACACAAGGTTCTTGTATAAATTCCCCGTTCTTCTTGAATATCTTCCCTTGCTATTTCTTTGCCTCTCGATAACACCTATATGCTCTCAAATTACACACCAAAAAACCTAGCATTTTCTCAGAGAAGTTTCACCTATCCTGCTCTAAGACTAAGTCAAGTTTGTCTGTCAATTGTGTTCTTAGCAATTCTGCATTTCTTAGTACATCTGAAATCAGTTGCCCAAGTGTCTACCTTTAGACTGGATTAGAAAGACCCAGTCTTGTCTCATTATCTGTTGACTATGTCTCCAGCATCTAGTTCAAAGCTTGACTTAGAGTGGGACCTCAGTATACGTTTTCTGAGTGCATGGATAGGTAAGTGAGCCCCTGCTTCTTCTCCAAAGAGCCTGCCTACATGCTGGGTGCTTCTTATTTGTAGACGAGTTCTTGTCTCCATCGTACAGCTCAGAAAGCCTACCTGTGTGGAGGTCCAGCTTGAACTCCTCAGACCCAGGGCCATGGAGGGAATATGTGATCTGAGCGTTTGTGTCAATGTCCAAGTCTGTGGCTGAAACTTTCAGAATGGAGTGTCCCGGAGACACATCTTCACTGACTTTACTGGTATAGAGGAGCTGGAGATGATGAGAGATTCACTGAGAGTCAAGAAGATGCAAAGTTTCTGAGGCTGTAAATCTTAATGGGAGTAGACTGTCTTACCTTTCTCCCACAGAGTGGCTGGTGGATTCAAATCACCAGCCTTTTAGTTAGCAGATTGACACATGATGCACTTTATCACAAGGGTTCTGTGTATGTGTACACAAGTGTGTAATATGTGTAAATGCTGTGGAAGGATGTTGTGCACGAAGGTATGTCTCATTCAAATATGCGTAATTACTAGATGGTTAAGTACATGTTATAAATGAGTATAGATTGATGTTAATGTGTAACTGGTATTTATGTGTGTATGTAGAGTTGCAGATGATCTTTTGTGCATGTTTATATGTGCATTTATGTACATATACTGATGGTTAAATTTTATGCAAATTTGACATGTGCTAATTGTGATGTTAAATTATAACATTAATTCCTTGCCATTATCTGTAAATCCCAAGTGGCAGATTATTTCATACATTAAAAACCATTTCAAACATGTCCTTTAAGACCATAAATCATACACCCTCAATATTTGTTCCCATGAGAAATTTAGCTTTGAATTGTGCAAGCCTTTAAGAAGATAACCTGCACTAAAAAGGTATCTGTATGTTTATAACCCGAGGAGCACATCTGTATTGCTCTGCATTTCTCACACAGATTTGGGGATATATGTATATATGGGGCCGACATAGGGAAATCCTGGGGGCATGGCTTTCTGGGTGCATTTAAAAATAGTCAGTCAAGCCAACAAGATGAACAGCAGAGGTGGATGCCCATTTGACATGCCAGTGTATGTTTGAAGAACGTAGAAATTACTTCTTAATATGTTTTGCAGAGAACTGGACCCTTGTAGGGAAGATATGAACAAATGGTCTGGAGTGACTTCCCTGTGGGGATCAAGGAGTTGTCTAGAATGACCTGTTCTTAGGCACTAGTCTGAGACAAGCTGGGCAGTAAAGACAAGTTTGATCAATGATGGTCAACCTCAGGAGTGGACCTATGTCACTCCCCTTCTAACTCTTCTCTTCGGCTTCCTTATCTCTGTTTCCATCCCACCTCATAGCAGGCTCTCACCTGTGAGCACTGGGGGCTGTTATCATTGATGTCCAGGACAAAGATCTCCACAGGGACAGAAGCCTGGAACTTGCCATCAGAGGCTGTAACACTGAGCAAGTACTTGGCAACGAGCTCACGATCCAGGGTCTTCCTTGAGAAAATTCTCCACTCATCTTTAACTTGGCTGATGCCAAACTGGCCCAGGGGATCTCCCTCTGAAAAAGTAGCACAGAGCTCTCAGAAGCCAAAAATAAGAACAAACCAGGTATTATAGGTAGCTGCCTAAGGACCCTTGTTTATGATTACTGGAAAAGGCATTATTTTTTTTCTCAATGTCCTTCTGTTGCTAAACCTTACCCAGTCCTTCACAATCTCCAAAACGGGTTATAAATAAAACTATTGTGATGCATAAAGTTTTTATTGATTGATTTTAAGTTCTATTATCAAGTCTTTCTTCCCAGTCTTACTTAGTCAAGAAATTCCCTGGATATCTGTTCACCATCACAGCAGCATACAACCTACTCTTGAGAGGCAGTTGCTGTGAATGATGTGCCCTGACCAGGAACTGAACCCAGGTTTCTTTCATAGAGGGCAAGAAGTCTCCCACTGAACCACCAATGTTTCATAATCACCTGCTACCAAAACACTACTTGCTGTTCCGTTAATTGTGAGTTTTCAGACGTTGGGCAGGCCTCTCTGAATGCATTCAACATTTTGATTAGCCAAGCACTTATCCGTTTACACCACCCAGGGATTCTGAGTGACCTTCTTTAAAAAACAAATAACAGTGCTAAAACTTGAGGAGTTGTCATCAAGTCAATTCTGTCCCAACAGGACAGAGTAGAACTGAGCACAGAGTCTTCAAGGTTGTAATGTAGGGAAGCAGACTGTCATGTGTTTCTCCTGGAGGTTTAAACACTGGTGAGTTTAAACCCTTACATAAGCCAGCAGCGTTTAAACCACTGCCTAAATTAGCAGCCTAGCACTTAATCACGCACACTGTGGACTTCTAGATTTCCCAAATTCAACACCAGCAGTTCTTTGGTGTTGTGAAGTTACTAAGGACTTCAAAAGTCTCCTGTTAAAATGAAATTTTCTTTGAGAGAAGCACATTTCAAATGATGGGGCTACGGATACGTTTCTGCCTTTCAGTGGTCTAGAAGGCACTTGAGAAGTTAAACAGAAACACATTTCAAGTCAATACAAGAAATTTCCAATACAAAGAACTGGACTTCTTTGGGGTAAAAGGTGGGCAGAAAATGGCAGCTTTATTTTCTCTGACATTTTATTTTACAACCAAGGACACAGACTAGAGGAAGATTAAGAGAAACACTAGGTTTGTTTCTAAGTCATCTTTTCTAAGATTCCAAAGCTCCAGAATATAATTATTCCAAGAAATTTATGGACTCCTGTTATGATAGACTATTACTATTTAAGTTTTTAAGACCTTCTGGTATTGGAATATCTGTTAGTATAAAATGAGAAAATTCTGTCTTCCTCAGTCATTATTCTCAACCACGGATCCTGTGTGGTCTTCAGAAGCATTTTGGGGAGCATTGCTATTCTTATCTGTGAGGGACATGACTCTCATCCTGTCTGTCTTTAAGTGCCTAGTACTCCTAGGTCTTCAGGCTCCTTAACTCTCCACCAGCAACTATGGAGGTAGATGGAGCCATGCGTGTGAAAATGGAATGGCATTCACTCGTGTGAGGTGGGAAAGGACACTGAGAAGTGAAGAATGCTCTCACGGCCATTCATTGTCCGGTCAAGTCCTTCAACAGGGTAATTTGAAGGCTGCCAGGGACTTCTCTAGAGTATTGAAAAGCAACAATGCCAGTTTAGAGACTGAGCTGCACCTGATACAGTCCTTGGTTTTAACAATTACTTGCTAAGCATCAGAGAGCTGGACAATGACTAAGGATAACAGAAGAATTGATACCTTTGCATTGTCGTGCTGGACAAGAGTCTTGAACATATCCTGGACTGCCAGGAGAACAAATCAGTCTGTCTTGGAGAGGGTGAAATCAAGTTTCTCCTTAGATACTAGGATTTTGAAGCTCTGTATCACATATTCTAGGCACATGGCCAGGAGTGATCAGTCCCTGGATAAGGACATCATGCTCAGAAGAGTAGAGGGACAGAGCAGGAAAGGAAGACGCTGGGTGAGAAGAATTGATACAGTAACTGGGGCAGTGAGGGTTGGTATGTCAGAATTAGTGAGACTGGCTCAGGACAGGGCAAGGTTCAGAGCGGATGTACATAGGGTCGCATGGGTAGTAGGCAACTCAACCCGATGGCACATAACAACAACAAACAACTTGTCTTTTTAATTGGAGACACAAAGAAAAGCAACCTGTATGGCTAAAATTGAAGCATGGTTTTAATTCCAGCTCTTATGCAAGCTCAGATGTGACCCTGGTTGAGAGTTTCCACTGTTTTTGGCTTCCCCACCAGAGAAACTAGAGAATTAGACTGCCTGACTAAGAAGGATTTTCTATTTCTACAATTTGAACTAAGCAGGACACTATTCTGCCAAGCTAGTCATCTCTCAGTTTCTATAGATTATACAACTGCTGGTCTCTCCTCCAACTCCTGAAAGTTAACTGGCCTTAATTATAGTACGAGCCTCCTAGGCCATCTCGACTTAGAACATTAAGGCCCTTTTACAACATAACAGCAGACTCACTGCTGTTGAGTCAGAACTATTTCTGAAAATCCTTCACTGGGTTTTGAAAGGGCATACATCTCCTGGGTAGAGACTCCCTTCCCAGAGCAGCTAGTAGATATGAACCATTTGACTATGGGTTGGCAGCACAACTCCCTAACCACTAGACAACCAGAGCTGCCTTTATTTACTACTTAAAATAACAGACTCCTCAAATTAAAGGGACCTGTCAATGATTTCTCCAATCTGATTTTATCAATGTCCTTGAGAGATGAATGAAATAGAAATGTCAAGTCTATAGACCAGCAAGTGAGGTACTACAAGGTTAAGGGACTTGTCTAAGGTTATACAATGTCAGTAAGTGACAGAATCATGACTCAAATCTGCTGACGTCAAGTAGGTTCCAACTCATAGTTACTCTCCATCAGGTTCTTAAGGTTATAAATTTTTCCAGGAAGAGATTCTCAAGCTTTTTCCAATGAAGTCATTGGTAGATTTGAACCACTGACCTTCAGGTAAGCAGCCCTATACATTACACACTACACCTTTAAATTCCACACATTAGCAACCCTTTAATATACGTTTTTCAGTGCGCTCCAGTCCTTACCATCTAAGACAAGTATCCTTACCTGTGATATAGCAGGTGACTTGTCTATTCTGCTCAGAGATGTCATCATCTAGAGTCTTCAGAGTAGCCACAAGTTCACCAGGCTCACTGTTCTCAACCACAAAGCCTCTGTAGTCTTCAGCAGCAAAGCGAGGCGCATTGTCATTCTCATCTGTGATGGCAACTTCAATCAGGGCCTGAGACGACAGCTGGAGGGTTCGGCCATGGTCATAGGCTACCACATAGAAGTGGTACGTCTGGCGAGTCTCACTGTCAAGTTCCTGGAGAGTGGTGATCCAGCCACTCTCGCTGTCGATGGCAAAGAGCTCATGGGCATTGCTACCAGAGTCTACTGCCAGTCTGTAGCTCACTTGGCCATCACTCCCAGTGTCCTGGTCATTCGCAGTCACCTGAATGACTGTGGTCCCTACTGGCATATTCTCAGTAAGAAAGGCCTTGTATGGATCAGCTTCAAAAATGGGCCTGTTGTCATTGACGTCCTTCACTTGGATATTAATGGATACCAAAGAGATCAAGTCAGTGTCCTCATGGGAGCAATGCGCCATGACATCAATCTGGTACCACTTGGTGGACTCATAGTCCATGGCCTTCTTCACCTTTAGGACTCCTGTGTTTTGGTCCAAGGAGAAGACACCATCCTTGTTGCTCTCTGGCGTGGTGCCTTGTACTAGACTGTAGATAACTGGATCTTGAGCTGCCACTGCCTTAACAAGCCCAATATCAGACCCCTCTGGGAGGTCTTCAGGTGCAGAGAAAGTGTACAGGGGTTCGGAAAATTTGGGCAGGGGTGCTTCATTGGAAACTACCTGCAACTGTACTGGCACTAGAGAGTCCCAGTGAGGAGGGCCTCCATCTTGGGCTTTAATTTTGAAGTCAAAGGCTCGATTTTCCAATCCCACCAGACTTTCTTTCACCTTGATAACACCAGTGGTGGGGTTGACTTCAATGACTTCCTCAGCCACATCCTCCATTGAGTCCACTGAATAGGTGACATCTGCATTCCGACCTTCATCTGCATCATAGGCCAGCACCTGGATGACCGGAGAGTCCCTGCTGACATTGGACTGAATGGACACTGTGTACTCAGATGCTTTGAACTGTGGAGCGTTGTCATTTTCATCTGTGAGGATGATCTTCACAGTGCAGAAGGCCACCCTTCCTCCTCCGTCCCGGGCCATAACCTTAATAGCAATGACTCTTTCTGTTGAGTTTTCCCGATCCAGTTTCTGCAGAGTGGTGATCTGGCCACTGGGGTTTATGGAGAACTTTTCACCTGCCAGCTTGTTGATGATGGTATAATCTACTGTGCCATAGGGACCACTGTCTTTATCTATGGCTAGCAACTCAATCACCTTGGTTCCCACCCTTGCATTTTCTGCTAATTCTGCCTCATAAATGTGCTGCTGGAACTCCGGACTGAACTTGTTTGCATTTGTTGTGTTGATATACACAGGCACAGCTGCTCGGAAGACCCCATCAGAAGCACCTACCCGTAATTTGTAAGAAGAATCCAGGTGCTTTTTACAAAGATTCAACATGGAAATGATTCCTGATGAACGGTCAATGGAGAAATGCCTGTCCTGATTACCAGAGAGAATCAGGTACTCCAAATTGGGATTATCCCTGCTGTCAGGGTCAATTGCTTGGACTTTGAGGACCAAGTGTCCACAGGTTGCTAGTTCACTGACATTGGCCTCATATTGGGGTTGCCGAAACTCTGGGGGGTTGTCATTGATGTCAGACACATTAACAACCACGAGAGTTTCACCAGTAAGTGGAGGGTCTCCCCGATCCATGGCCCTGACCTTCACATGAAAGTGCTGTTGAGCTTCATAATCCAGCTCTTGAACTGTGGACATTTCCCCGGTACTCCCATTGATCTGGAAGAACTTGGACACATCTGACCCATCCTCCACAATCTGATAGGAGACATCACGGTTCTTTCCTGAATCCTGGTCAGAAGCCAGCAGTTGGATCACAGGGGTTTGGGCAGGTAAGCCCTCAGAGACTGAAGTGGTATAGACTAATTGGGAGAAAGTGGGGGGGTTATCATTGATGTCCTCTACTAAGACTTCCACTGTGGCTTCAGAAAATGATCCCAGAGCTGTGTCTGTGGCTCTGACTGTGAATACATGTTTGGTTTTGGACTCATAGTCCAAAGGTCCTGTCACTGTCAGGACACCAGTCTTGAAGTCAGTGGTAAAGAGCATCAAAGGCTCTTCCTCCACAATGTTATAAATGAGCCGCAGTCCCTCTGGGCTCCGAGCCTGGGTGTGAAGGATTGGGGTATAGAGTGTAATATTTTCAGGCACTTTGACTTTGTAGTAAGGACTCTGAAACAAAGGGTTGGATTTATTTCTCACAGTGACAAAGACCTCTTCCTCAGTCTGGAGAGATGGGGTTCCTTTATCCTGAGCAATGACTTTGAGGCGATATTTATTTAAAGCTTGATAATCAAAAGGTTTCTTGAGTGATATGTCCCCAAGGTAGGGGTCAATTCTGAAATAGGTATAATTTTCTGCAAATGCATATGTGACAGCCCCATTTACCCCCAAGTCTTGGTCAGTGGCAGTTACTTGAAAGAGGACATCCCCTGGCTCTGTGCCATCTTGAATGATCGTGTAGTAGGGCAGATGCTGAAACTCGGGGGGATTGTCATTGACATCCTCAACAGAAACCCTGACCAGAGCCTGAGCCACTCGCTGAGGGGTGCGATTGTCCCTCACTTCCACAGCCACCTCATGAAGGTCCTGTCGCTCACGGTCAAATGCTACACCTCTTGTCTGCAACACACCTGATGATCTGATCATATAAAACTTATCTGTGTTATTCAAAAGGAAGTAGGAAAGGGTATCATTTAAGTGATTGCCCTGGACGCCAAGAATCACCAGGGCCTTCTTGATCTTTAAGTTCTCCTTCACTGCTGCCCTGTAGACATGCTGGTCAAATTGTAAGCTTGTATTGAGGGCTTGGGTCAATGTCATTTTTACTAATGCAGTGTCTTGATAGAGCCCATCAGAAGCCTTGATGGTGAGCTCTCGAGAGTGTACTAGGAAAGCAGGATTTAATACAGATATGAGGCCAGTGATGGGATGGATGGTGACAGCTTCATCAGCATTTCCCTTTTTGATGCTGTAATTAACTTCTGAATCATCATCATTGGCCCGCACAACAAGAAGCTCCATCCCTGGATGGGTGGGCTGAAGAACTGCTACTTCATATATTGGGTCTAAGAACCTAGGAGGAGAATCATTCACATCTCTGACACTGATGATGACCAGGGCAGGCTTGGGTGCATATAAGATGGGGGTTCCTTGGTCATGGACATAGACGTTGAATTGGAAAGAAGGTATGCTCTCGTAATCCATTTCTGATACAATGGTCAGTGTGCCCATGCTGGGATCAATTTTGAAAAACTTCAAGGCTTCTGGCTCCAAAATTTTATAGACCAATAAAGAGTTAGCTTCTTTGTCACCGTCGGTGGCATGAATCACAAAGGGGCTATTGTTCTCATCCATGACCATACTGTGCAATGGAGCTGCTTCACTAATTTGACCCACAAATGTTGGTTTTGAGAACATGGGTGCATTGTCATTTTCATCAATTATGTAAACAAGCACCACAACATCAGTTGATGCACCTGCCATATTGCTACCTCGGATTTTTAGCTGGTAAGATGATATTTTCTCATGGTCCAAACTCTTCTTGGTGGAAATGAGGCCAGAATATGAGTTCATGGAAAAGACACCATCCTTGTTTCCCTCTCTCAACTCATAGGTAACTTCAGAGGAGCTCGTAGCTGAGACCAGGAGGATTGGGGAGCCAACAGGGATTAATTCAGGGATCTCTACAAAGTACTCAGCTTTTGAAAAGACGGGGGCACTGCTGTCTGAGGGGTGGACATGAATGACCACGGTAGCCAGGTCATGACGCTGTGGGGAGCCTTGATCTTCTGCCTTCACTGTCAGAGTGTGTTGGGCATGACTTGCCTGATCGAGTTTCTGGGCTACAGTGATGATGCCTAGTAGAGCATTGATGCTGAAGAAACCCTTGCTGTTCCCTGAAAGAGAGAAAAAGACAAACTGAAACTTAGGACATTCTCTAGTGTGTGTACCAATTGGGTTTTTCATATGATTAGAGAGGCTTTCACACAGAGCCTGGACAATGCCACATCTACATGCCACTTTCCATTTGTGTTGTTGTTGTTTTTATTAAGTACCATAGAGTTGGAACTGACCCATAACTGACCTTCCAGTGGGTTTTCAGAGGCAACAAATCACAAGGGAAGAGACTGCCCCTCTTTCTGCTGCACAGGGGCTGGTGGATTCAAACAAGCACACCTTTGGGTTGGCAAGGCAATTCCTTATTTCTAAGTCACAAGCACTCCCTACATGGAAATTAGTAGAGTACAAAACTCATTGTTATTGAGTTGGAACTATCTCATAGCTGACCCTCCAACAGCTTTTCAGAGGTTGTAAGTCACACAGCAGGAAACTGCTCATCTTTCTCTCATGGACCAACTGGTAAATTTGAACTACCAGTTAGCACAACTGATGGCAGCACAACTGTTTATGCACTAGGCCATCAGAGCTCCTTTTTAAAACGAATAGGACTTTGAAATCATGTTGTCTGTTCTCATTATGGTCTGTGATGGGAAAAATCTTGGCTAAGTTTGGGGCATTAAAGGCAAGGAGTTGAGGGGTAGAGAGTCTGGACAGAATATTCAGATCATGAAGTTCTTAGTCAAATGCCCTTTCCACAACACCTTTATTTTCTCAGTTTCAGGAATTCCTATATCACCTTTACATTTTCCCATTTTAAAACATTACACTATTTTATTCCATTTGTCATTGATATTTCTCTTTAAATTTATTTTTTACATGTAATCAATATTTTTAAAAGACAACTTTGTATCATTGCCTCATAAAGAAAACAAGGAGGGTACTGGTACAATGACAGACACATAGATTAATGGAATAGAATTGAGAACCTGGAAATCAGCCCTTTTACTAATTTTTGACAAGAAGATTAAATCAGTTAAGTGGGGAAACAACAGGCATTTTAACAAATGGCGTTGGCAAAGTTGGAAAACTATCTGTAGAAAACTCAAGCAAGATCCACACCTCACCCCATACACTAAAACCAACTCAAAGTGGATCAAGGACCTAGGACTAAAACCAAGGACTATAAACTTCATTAGAGAAAAGCTTGGAAGAACTCTAGAATCCCTAATCCACAACATGAACAGTCTTCCAAGCATCCTGAAAAATCCACAACCAGGAGACGGTAAAATAGATGAAAAGGACCTTCTAAGATTGAAATCTCTATGCACATCCAGAAACTTCTCAAACAGGGTAAAAAGGGAAGCCACAGACTGGGAAAAATATTTGGTAATGACATGTCAGATAAGGGACTCATATCTAGAATTTATAAAATACTCGAGCATCACAACAAGATAAAGGTAAATAACCCAATTGAAAAAGAAGCACAGGATATGAAGAGACACTTCACCAAAGAAGATATTCAGATGGCCAACAAGCACATGAAGAAATGTTCAAAATCCCTAGCTCTAAGAGAGATGCAAATCAAAACAACTATGAGTTATCGTCTCACAGCAGTAAGAATAGCAAAATTTAATAGAACAGGAAACAACAAATGCTGGAGAGGTTGCAGAGAAACTGGAACCTTTATTCACTATTGGTAGGAATTTAAAATGGTGCAATCACTAAGGAAGGCATTATGGCGCTTTCTCAAAAAGTTGGAAATAGAAATACCATTTGACCCAGCAATTCCTCTACTGTGAATATACCCTCAAGAAACTAGAACTGCCACCCAAGCAGATAAATGCACACCCATGTTTATTGTGGCTTTGTTCACAATAGCAAAGAGTTGGAAACAACTCAAGTGTCAATCAACAAACAAATGGCTAGAGAAGCTCTGGTATATTCACACAATGGAATACTATGCTGCTTTGAAAAACAAGGAACTCATGAAATAGTATACAAAATGGGTACGCCTGGAGGACATCATGCTGAGTGAAATATCTCAGTCACAAAAGGACAAACATTGCATAGTGCCACTGTTGTAAAGCGGGACTGACATCAGATTTGGGGTGGGGGGAACTAAGAGGGGATAAATAATGTATACTGCATTGAAATAAATGAGGAAGAGAACTGTTTAGGAGGAATATATGATTAGGTATTATTGTCATGACAAGAGTCTAGAATGAAAGCTGCATAGTGGAGTGGACTAGGGCCGGGATGGGAGAGATTGTATAACAATGAAAGAATTTTCTTTTTTTTACTTTTCAAAGAGAAAAACGAACTAGGAGGGAGGGGTGGGCAGGGAGGAAAGTGTGCAACAAGGAATGAATGGAAATACAAAGTCTCTGTAAGCTTTCATTAAAACTTTTTAAAAAATTAAAAAAGATGAGAGTGAGAGAAATGAGGTGAGAGGAAGATTAAAAATTTTAATTTCCATATTTTTCATAGCAGAGAGTCAAACAATATGTCTAAAATGAAATATGAATCTTAAAAAAAATTAAAAAAAAACTAAGGAGGAAACCCTGGTGATGTATCAAATTACATGTTGGTCTGCTAACCTAAAGGTCAGTGGTTCAAGTCAGCCAGCTGCTCTGTGGGAGAAAGATGAAGTAGTTTATTTCCATAAAGATTTGCAATCTCAGAAACCCAATGGAGGGTTACCATGAGTTAGAAATTACTCTACCACGGTGCTCTGGTTTATAAAGAATACCAGTATTGATTTCATAAATCAAAAATTATCATGAAAATAAAGCAGTGAATAAAAATGCTTTGTTAAAACCAGGATGAAATCGATTGCTTTTTAAAAGGGCTGCGCCTGAGACCTATCTTCACTTTCTGGTAAAAAGAAAGAGAAACAAACGTCCGAGGCAACGTAAAGACATCCTCTTATCCAACCAAAACTTTGCCCTTGATGAAATCAGGAAATTAGGAGAATTTTTTAAAAAGAGAGACTTTCCTCCTGCCAGACAATCTAATTAATGCCATAACGAACACTTGAATAATTGATAGAGGTACAGGCACACGAAGAAAATGCTGTTCTTTACTGTTCTTATTATCCTCATATCACATGGGTGCACATTTATGGTTTCATTGGCAAAGCAAATATTTGAGCATCATCATACAGTATTCAGTCTGATTGTTCAACTCTTTGAAATTTCTTTCCAGCTGACTAAATCAACCTACTCTGACTCCTGGTGACCCCATGTAATTCAGACAACTGTGCTCTATCATTCCAGGGGCTGCTTGTTCAGAATTTGCTCTCCAGGCCTCTCTTCCAAGGCATCTCGGGGTGGACTTGAACCTCCACCTTTCAGTGAGCAGAGAAGCACATGAACCTTTGCACCACTTGACTCCTTAGTTGAAATTCTGATTTACTTATGTCCATTTACTTATTTACAGATGTTAACTGAGTCAAACAACATGACTCCAAAGAATAAGAAAACTATCTAAATATAATTGTAATTTGTCATGCCATACTATCAGGAAAAGGATGAGCAATCTCCTCCCGTGCAAGTACTACCTATGAAAACCTGCCAGAGGATCAGCCACTGTTGGTTCCGACTTGATGGTACACAACAACAACAATGTCAGACTAAGGAGAGAGAAAAATCGGAGCACAAGTTTGTACATTCAGTATTATCTCAATATTGCAAAAAGCTGCAAGAAATACACAAAATTAATATCTCTGTAATAAAAAATTATGTATATTATATTGAAACAGATGAGGGAAGGAACAGATTAGAGGTGATATATGATTGAGTATTATGGTTAGCACAGGAATCCAGAATTAAGGTTGTATAGAGAAGTGTACTCGGGGTGGGGGGAAGGGGTGTGGGAATTGTATACTAATGAAGGAATTTTTTTTTCTTTTTCTTTTC